GTCGACAGCCGGTCAGTAGTCCGACGACTCCGACGCCAACGAACGGCAAATCCGAGTCATTCCTCGACTATTTGGGGACTTTGGGCCGCAAGAAGAAGATCAAGGAAGGTATGCATCACCACAACCACCACAACCCTCCAATACATCCATATTTTGTCTCCACTAAAGCACTCCAGACTGAGCTCCCGTTCCCTCCCATCCCTTACCCCATAATAACTCTCGTACTCTACGAATTGCAGTCATTTCTTTTGATTGTAATTAGTATTCACTTTTAAACCATTTGTTTCACTCATTTGTCTTATAATTGTAATATTAATGTAAGTATTAATTATATGTCCAAATGTTTAGTAATGTTTTCCGCATTTCCAATAATCACACCCGAGTTATCTTAATACATAACATTGGGTGAATAGAATAATGTGATCAGGGTTTAACTATCATTAGGCCTATCGGGGTAATCATTACTTGTGATTATATTAATGTGCGAAACAACTAATATTACGGGAAAAGGATTGCTTTAATACTTGAGAGGGAATGGAGTACATAGAGGAGTGGATTTGATTGAAATATTAAGTTAATTGACAAATGAATTGATTGTTTGTTGTATTGATTGTGTCTGAAGAGGCGGAAGCGGTTAATATCGAAGAAGAGGGCCGTCAAGCAATTGACAGCAATGCACAGCACCCGGTCATTGACGCCCTCCCCGAAGAGTTTGTCTTAAGTAAGTTTGTATACCACATAAACATTGAAACATTTATTTAAAACTAAAACTTATAGTTTAGTCAGTAAATAGCGTACACTATGTTTGTTCAATGAATTTAATATAATAACAGATGGGTTTGCAATTTATAAAATTCCTCATTAATTAGTGTTTAATAAGTGAATTGAATGTTTAGACGAATACGAGGAGCGATCGATGATTGAGCCGGGTATGATCAACAATCATGACTACCAGGAATTGCTCAAGATCCTGGTCAATTGGATCAACGATGAGCTTAGGTTTAGAGTAATTGTAAATTCATTGAAGTAATTCTCTCTAAACGATGTGTTTTTGGTAACTGAAGTGATCAGAGAATTATCGTCAAAGACTTGGAAGAAGACCTCTTTGACGGACAGATTTTGGGCAAACTTATAGAGAAACTGAGTTCTCAGAAGTTGGATGTCGTGGAAGTGACTCAGAATGAAGACGGAC